TCTGTGCATCTGGCAGTGTCATGCAAATATAGTCTATGAAAAATATGACATTTCAGTTTTTATGTTTTTTTAATAGCATTTCCTTCCTTTTCACCTTGTGCAATAAACCCAAAACCCTAATGCTTTTTTTGTCTTATATACAGTAAATAGCGCTGACGCCCTCATTTAAGCAAACTGGCTTATGTGGCCATGTTTTTAGCCTCTTCCTATAGGACGTCTGTTAGTTGCATAACTCGCATGAGTACTTTGGATCAGCGAGTGCCAAGTCGTCTTTCTAAATTCTCTGCGTAACTCGTTTGATTCCTGCTTTCAAAAGTTGCATTTATCACTGTTGTGCACGCAAGCAGAGATGTGACAAAGACAACCGTATAAATGGTCAAGTAAAGTATTTCTTCCGACGTCTCTCTTTTTTTGTCATTTTCACTTTAACTGGATACCTCACAGCAGAGTGAGACATGACACACACAGAGCAGGAGAGAGACCGTGCAGGATGACACCCAATTAAGGTTCCAAGGTAAAATCAAACCAATAATATTTTATTCAAGGGTATGAGTTTTATTCTTTAGAACATGTCACTTTTTTTATATTTCTATTATCTGCAGGAGCAGCTTTGGCAGGTGCTTAATTCATACTGAATCACTGAGTCCTGAAAGTCAAAGAATGACTCTACAAATCCTCTCATTAGTTAAAAAGCCGGGCTGAGAGCAGGCAGGCCAGGAGATCATGACAGATGACCGGGACTCTGCTGTAAGCTTGAAATTGTGGTGGCCGAGCTATCTTGGCACGGAGGTGCACGGGGGAGGGAACTGTACTGTCAGCAGCAGAACGAGGCTGGTGTGTGGCTGTCAAATATTTCTGAGGAAAGGCATGTCATACACTCAAGCAAACGCAGATGCACTCGAATCTCAGCACCGAAAACAGGCAGAATCCAGACATGGACAGCTGGTCACACTCCATATTGGGTCACAGCGTGCGGGCAGAGCTGATGCATGCTGTGTGCCAACATCAACTCCTGAGTGTGTCCGTGCACACTTGTAAACCAATGTGCGCGTGTGTGTTTATGTGAAGCGAGAATCTTTAAGTCGGCTCCAAAGTGGCCCGATAGTGCCCGTCCAATTTCCCATCCTGCTGTGTTTGGGATTAGCAACAGTTTGTCGGCGAGGAACCAGGACAATCAATACCACAGAGGAAGCTGTCCATAGGACACATGCGTGCACACACACACACACACACACACATGCTTTTAAAAAGACTCTGTGAGCCACCGTTCGCCTGTCAGTTGATCATTCAGTCTGATACAATGAGTTAATTAGAGGTACACTGTTTGGACCTAGAGGATACCTGTGTGGATTGGACTAATAAATGTCCAAGCACGTCTCTTTGTCAATAATTTAAGGTGAGGAGAGACTCTTACTGCATCGATGCTGTGAAAATGGTGTCTGGAGAGTACGTTTTTGGTTCTTTTTAAAAAGTAAAACTACTGCAACAAGCAGACAGCATTTTCAAAAAGAAAAAGAGGATGGAAGGAAAATCCACTGGTGGCCTAGGATGAGGAGGTTTTGTTGTCTCCAGAACTGAGAGAAATAAAAGACTGTGAACTTTCAGACACTGTGTTCTTAGATTTCTGTACTTTCACTGCTCTTATGAAATATTTCTCACTTGTTTTAAAGGCCAGCTGACATTAACCCTTTAAGACCTACCATAGAACCAAGTCCGCCAGAGCTTATATTATAT